TAGTAATTATAGTTTAGCGTTTCAAGTTGCATCTAAGTGGGAATATTTCATTATGGACGACTGCCCTAAACCTTAAATCGTTCCATTTCGAGTTGTGATATCTCGCGTTCGATCAAAAATCATTTATGAATATAGGCTACAAAAAGAGTCTTTGTAGCGTGAATGGTAAGTAGGTAGATTGGTGTGATCTCGCTTGATTTTTGCTCAAAGAACTGGGAATTGAGCAAAGATTGCAAATTAGACTTTACATAATGAGGCGACTTTAGCTTTGCATGCAACTCTTATGATATTGTGCTAGAGTAATGGGCTATATATCAGAAACATACGGAAACACGACTAACAGTTTAATAAGAGCAGGGAAAGGAAAGGCTGAGGAAGGAAAAAAGTTTCTTTGAAATAAGAATATATGTGTTAGGGACCTATATATAACTCAAGCTTTCCTTAACAAATATTCATGTGAAAAGCTTTGAACAAATAAATAAATAAAGAGATTATTACTTTATAAAAGTTTGAACAAACATACATACACATTATACTACCAAAGAAAAACTTTATGAAACCCTAGGGAAGCGGAAATGCAGAAAAAGCGCAGGAAATCAGTAAAACTGACATGTGGAAAATGATACTTAATTGAGCTGGCGTGTTAGAAAAGTAGGGCGCAGAGACAAAATTACTAAAAGTGAAAAACTAGATATCGGATGAGGTTGCTTTTCAATCATGGCTTTTCATGACAAATGTAAAAAAACCAGAATTTTACTTTTGCCTTGGAAAAAAAATGTGAAAAGACATGGCTGCGAGAATATCTATAGAAAATAGTAAGAAAATGCTTTGTGGAGGATCAGAGAAAAGCGACTATCAATTGTGGGATTCCTTAGAATCAAACATAGCTAGATAAAGGGTCTTTGTTCTTTATCGAAACTTTGAATGGGCAGCTGAATTGAAGATGCGTACATTATAGCCTAATAAACTCGAATCAACCAAATATTCATAATGTTTTCCATGTTTACGCACCTTTCCAGAAGAAAATATGAAAAGAACAAGCAAACGATATGATCGAAAGCAGTCGAGAGAGTTGTTTTCCTTGCAAAAGGCATGACGTTACAAGGCTAAAGATAGATTTGCAACGGTGATAGGGTGTAGGACGCTCTTTTCTAGTACACTACACTACTAATCCTTTGATTCAATTAGGAATTCTAGGTTAGTAGTCCTTAGAAAACATTGTAAAATTAGCAAACGATATGAGGAATCTGAAAGCTTCTGTAGATCAACTCTGGTTTCTGGTATAAAGCCTAAAAATTGGAAATCAAAGAGCAGCAAATTGCGATAAACTGATGTGTGTTGAAGGGGATCAAGCTACAATATACCTGAGAAAATTCTGGAGGAATGCAAAGTTCAAGGTGTAAAAACTCCTAAAGGAAGTTGTCGCAGAGGGACAAGAGGATTAGAGCGCAATCGTTTTGCGCTGTTGGTGGGATGGCGATGACCTCAATATGTGAAAAAGGAAGATTTTAACTGTGTCGAGGATGCTGGAAAATAAGAACAGCGTGTTGGATTCTGTGGTTTTTAGGACAGAATTAGAATAACGGGAAAAATATACAAATTTTAAAAGTTTACGGAATAAAACATGATAATTCTTAATTTCTTTGGCTATTACTAATGCTAAAACAAAGCCCATTATGAGTCAATGGAAGTTGAACTCGTATTTGGCGAACTATTCTTTTTGCATTCTTATTTAAATGACTTCAGAGTTCGCCAGCGCAACGTTATGGCATTACAACGAAACTGCGATCGCAACCAACTAAAGAAAGTGAAATTTTCAACGAAATGGCAATGTTTTGAATATGAAGAGACGCGCAATCGTGACCTATATCGCTGCACATCTCGTTGAACGCTTTCAATATAAATGTTGATGGATCATCAGCGGAACATGCTGGATGATACAGATCATCTATTGATTCTACGATCATCTTTAAGATTGGGTAAGAAGAGATTTTGCACGAAAATTTGGCTTCAAATATAATCAAACCAGGTGGGACGAGAAATGCTGGCATCCAAATACGAGCAAATGTGAAAAAGGTTATTTGAGGCTAATGGTTCTTTCCAGGAAAAGGTAAAGGCGATCTTCACATACGAGCTTATTTTTGCTGGTGAAACATAAAAGATAGATAAAGATACAGGAATAAGAATCGCTGGAAAGCTCTATCAGGTAATATTTGTTCATTTTCCT